GAACAAGAAGTGAATTGGTGGTTAGTCTCTTAAACTATCTAATTTCCCAAAATTCCTTTTTATTTATTTATTTATTTGTTTGGATCCCAAACTCAGATCTAATTTTATATGCAAACCCGGTCTTGCCCTGGTCTAATCCCAAGCTCAGTTTCCACATATCAGCCCATTCAACTTGGGCCCAGTCTAGTACACAATCTAGCCCAATAACTTGTCTGAACCAATTTCAGTTGATGCGACTTGGATTAGTTTGGCAAGCCTAGGATCCTAACCCATGCCCAACTCAGTTTAGGAAATTGGGTCTAAAAAGACCCGATAGCATGTCAAGTCTTTCTTCTCTATCGACATTAACAAACCTAAAATTTTCAGAAAGAATCAATTACTAGCCTCATAATGCCATAGGTGATTGATAGGCGATACTCAAGGATTAGGTTTTTCTTGATAATTTGTAGCAATTTCCGACTAGAAAGTGGTAGTTTCGATGGTTCTTTCAATTGAAGAAGATGAAAAATAGGCAAGTGGTTTACCTCATCCTAATGGCTTTATATGGACAAGGTTGTGTATTCAATTCGAGATCAAATAGCATAAACCTTACAGATTTGATCGGGTGAAGTTAAGGCTTTTGAAAAGGAAATTGGGGACAGTGGTAAGATGCAATTTTTGAGAGTTTTCAATTTGGTCCTTGCTTTTGTGATTCTGTTCGATTTAGTCCTTGCCTAATACTATTATTTATGTTTAGCCCTATCAACTTTAACTTTGTTCAATTGTGCCCTTATTATTTTTAGTTAAGTCCCAAAATGTTCTAATTCTTTCAATTAAGTTCTAGACTTCTAAATTTTCTATTAGCCCCTAAATTTGGGGTATTACATTAATTTATATATGAAAAGAAAAGAAAAGCTCTATACTATTAAAATATTAAAAGTTAATTTCAATTAATTTACAAAGAAGTGACAAAATAAATAAGTCAGGTTTATTGCAAACCAAATATAAATTTACATAGGCATTTCCCTCCCTTGGAGGAGGAAGAGAGTAATGACTTTTTTCTTTATTGTTTATTTTATTTATATATGAAATATGGAGATTTGGTTACATTTGAAATGATTATTTGAATAACTATTTGACTATATTTGAACATTTTTAACATAATGTAGATTTGGAATTATTCAATTTTTTTTTCTTCATTTGTTCATACTTACTATAGGATGGTAGTTGAATCTTTGCAAAATGTTTGAAATTTTATGGTTTCGTGATTATTATAAATTTTATTATTCTTATTAAAGAGAAGAAATTTTTTTGTTGGATAGTAGTAGCACTACAAAAATAATGGGGATTACCGACGCAATTTACCGATGAAAAATATTTCGTCAGCATACAAACAACATTTCCGACACGAAAGTGGCATTGGTAATATTACCGATGCAATTATCGATGCAAAAAGGGCGTTGAAATAAAAAACAATATTACCAACGCAAAATCATGCGTAGGTAAAGAATTAAAAATTAAACAATACTTTTACCGACACAAACATTGCGTCGGTAACATATAAAAAAAAGAAAATAAAAAATTAAATTTACTGACGTAAAAATTGTGTCAATAGATTGGATAAACTTACCGACGCAATAATTGCGTTAGCAAGTTATGCAACATTATTTAATTTTTTTTATAACTTACCAACGCAGCCTTGCGTGGTAAAGACATTGGGATTCAAAGTTTTGCGAGGTGCGAGGGATAGTTACCGATGCAATTGCATCGGTAACTTAAATATTTGCATCGGTAACTAATTTGACATTGTTCGAGGCACGAAAATTGAACAGTTACCGATGCAAATACCGACACACTACGTCAAAATTTGCCTATGTCATGGCCCCTTCCCTTAACTTCCATTTCTCTCTTTGTTCTCTCTCCCATTTTGCTATTTTGTACTCTCCTCGCTTTGCTTTCCATTTCCCATTTCATTTGCTCGTTGTTGTTCGATTGTCGCCTGTTCAATTATCACCGCTGCCGCACTGCATCGGTACAATTGTTTAGTTGTTTTGTAATTTTTGCACATTCAACGATTATGTGTATTATATATATACATGCTTGGTTATGTTTTTTTGTAATATTGTTTTTTAGTTATATGTGTTTTTTTTTTCATTTAGTTATATGCCTCGCCAAGAATTGGTCTGGCCCGACCTAGCCTAGATGGGTTAGTTGGGCTGGCCCAACCATTGGGCCGGCCGGTGTAGCCCAGATGGGCCCACTGGGCCGGGTCAACCACTAGGCAGGCCCGGCCTAGCCTAGTTGGCCGGCTGGGCTGGCCCAACCCACTGGGATGGCCTAGTGGGCCTGAAAAAATATATAGATATTTAAAATATTAATTTGAAATATTATTAATGAAGGCCCAATAAATAGTATTAATATAAAATATTATTAAAAAAATAAAATAAACTTATGAAATAAAATGTTATTAGAATATTGTTTAATAAAGTATTTTTAAAATTATACTAGTTTAATACATTAAAATATTATATAATGGATTGAAATATATTTTAATTATTTATTTAATGACTAAAGAAATATATTTTAAAATATTAATTAATAAATATTATAACTACAAATTTAATGAATTAAAAGTCAAAATTAAATAAATTTATTGTTTTGTAATGTTAATCTAAAATCTTATTTAATGATTAAAAAGATATATTGAAAGTAATATTTATTAAATATTATAACTATTAATTTATTGAATTAAATTTCAAAATCAAATAAATTTAATGAAATAAGATTTTATTATAATATTATTTAATGTACAAAATAATTACAGGAAAAAAGATAGCGAGGAGGTGTGAGTGGACCAATGATCGGAGAAGACTTATGTAAGTAAATTTTATTTAATTTTTAGTAAATAATTATATTATTTATTAACTTTTTATAATTATTAAATTGTTTTATGAGATACTTGTGTATGTAAGCTGACTTCCAAGCTGCCCGATCCTCCTAGTCAACACCTGAGGAGATGTTTACTCCAGAGTCTTAGTGGATGGTAAACACTGAGTTGTGGGAGAGGTGCGCTGGGGGAAGAGCCTTCAGCGTGTATACAGTCTTGGATGGTAGAGTTCTTCTCAATCAGTCCACTATCCTTCATCCGATAGTACAGATCAGTCTGTAAGATTGAAAATGCAAAATCTCCGTTAACAGAATAAGAAGTTTCGGGAGAAGGTGGGGAGTATAGAGCTTGCTTTTCATAATTTGTATAAAATGATTGAAAGGATGAGAGGCACACCACCCGGTCAGCCATGCCCTCCGGTGCCTGCTTGACGATTCTGACTCTTTTTCATCTCAGTCAGGCAATAGTGGTTGTCGGGAGTGATTTTTAGTTTTTTAGATATTGTTTCATATGTTTAGTGACATTATTTTATGTTTACAATGAAACATTTGAATATTATTTATGCACATGTTATTTCAATTTTATGTAAGTGCATATCTTAAATAAATTATCATAAATATATATTTCAAAAAATATGTAAAATTAATAATCAATAAATAATAAAAATTAAATACTAATAATTATATAATAATATTTAAAATAAAATTATATAATATAAATATATTAGTATTAATTTAATAATTAATAATAAATAATTGAATTAAAAAAATTGATTTTATTTCCAATGCAAATTTGCGTCGGAAATTTCTGACGTAAATTTGCATCAGAAAATTTACACGTCCGTAAATTCTAACGAAGAGTGTTCGTTGGAAATTTTCGATGCATTTTGCGACCTAGTTTGTGTCAAAAATTTCCGACGCACAGCTTTTTGCGTTAGTAAAATTTTTCCGACGACCCATTTTTTGACGAAAAGTTTTGCGTCGATAACTTTATTAACGACTCAATTTTCTCTCTTACCTACACATTTTTTGCATCAGCAATTCTCCCTTTTTTATAGTGTAAAGTCAAACTGTTTGTTATAAAATAGTATAGGAATAATTTTTGCATAATTTATTAAGAAAGAAAATCTTGTTTCTAATTCTAAATCGTATTTCTTATTTTTTTTTATCCAAATTACTTTTTTCTAGACTGCCCGATGAAATTTGTAGATACCAAAAATTGTTTTTTACTGAACAGTAAAATGGGATTTGGATTTTTTGGACACATTGGCGGCTTAAGTTAGGAGAAGAGGAAGAGGGTGGGAGTAAAACTGATAATCTTTAAATGAATATCACAAGTATTATATATCTCTTAGACTAAACCTTAAATTCTAAAATGAGATTTAAATTTGAATCTACGAAATTTCAATTCCATTTTTATTTTTTACCTTACGAAACAGCGGGTAAGAATTTGCAATAATACAGGAATTCCATTAAAATAACAATCCATCGTTTTATGTTTTGATATGTGATAGCCTTCAAAGAAAATTTAATTTTCTTTTTTTTTCTTCCTCTCAATTAAACACTCAAATTCGAAGCACGGTACCTTTGACTCTATCCACAAATTATTTTATTTTTTATTTTTTCTACATTCAGGTACCTTTGAAGCAAATTTATATCAATATTAATTTTTTTATTTATAAAAATAGGTTGACCGATAATTATTTATAGAAAACAGTTCTGGACTGATTTTTCAGAAAAAATCTATTCTCTAAGAACTGATTTTTCAAATAAAAATTAACATATTTTTATGAATAATTTTTAAAAAATCTATTTTTAATAAAATAAAATAATTTATAAATGTTAATAAAGATTTGCCCACCTTTGACTCTATCACAAATTATTTTATTTTTTGTTTTTCTGCATTCATTGGAAATTGGAATGTTGACGGAAAGCGACCTAACAAACTGCACCCAGCAGAGTAAAAATTCACAGGGGAATCCAACAGCATTGACTTCAAAAGTAACAACACCAACACAGAAATTAAAGGGGTGTTTAAATTTTAACTAAATAAATAAATAAAAAGTTGACCTGTATTTACAACGTGTTGCATTTGAATTGAATTAGAGCCAACATATTTTAAAGCTATTTTAATATTATCCTGAATGGACAATTTTGACCACAACGTCACCGGCACTGCTGAGCAGTCTTCTCGTAGGGGCGCAACCTGTTGTCCCCAACCGGGAGTTGAAGGCGCAGTTTTTGTAGTCTCCCCATGTGAACTCCTTGTACCAACTCTCTTCTCCTTCTTCCATCAGTGATCTTACTGGTATTATCTTTTCACCCAAAGGTGGTGCTGCGAAGTAGATCATTGACTCCTTGATCTCCCATTGTCTGCCAGAACTCTGTGCTTCACACTCCTAAACCTCCCATTAGTCATAACCTGCCACAGTATTGTTATTCACACCTACCATCTTCATCTATAAAAAGAAAAGAAAAACCCCAAAATGCCCATGATGAAAACAAGGCTTTAAGGGGAGTTAGGAAACTGTCATCAAACACACGTCCCATCCAACCCCAAAAAATCAAACTTACATTTAAGTCAAAAATCTTCCCAACAAATATAAGATAAAGGTAAAATCTAGGACACTGATGTAAATGATACAGAACCGTACAGGGAGGCCGAAGAAAAAAATACAAAAAACGAAGCCACTAGAGATCAACATGGCTAAGAAAATGAACAGAGAGAAAGCAATTGAGGGTGAAAAACAAGAACCCAGAGACACTGACAAACAGAAACTATACCCGGAAAGATGTTATTTTCATGCATTTAACTAAAATTTTCACTTCTATATATCTGTTATTTAGTTCAGCATGATAATCTGGATTACATTTATTAATTTCAATTAATTTTAATGCGAAAACACAATTATGACATTATATGTACAATAAAAGCCATTTAGAATGAATTTCACACACTTAAAATATTATATTTGGCAAAAAAAAGAAAATATTTTAATATTACCATGAATCGAATCGCCAACATGACGCAAGGAAGAGGTATTTTGCCCCTAGACATACCAAGAGTTTGGCAGATGTCTGTGTCAGTCAGATATGAAGGGTACCTGTAGAGAATCGCCGATGTTGATAAGAATGGAGAAGGGGTCAGATGGGATTAAGACCATGTCCCATCTTTTAGAGAAATTTCAAGGCCAGATGTGTCGGATCTCAGTGCAGACATTATCTGTGGGTCTGTGTGCTCTCCAAAACCCACCAATTTTTCACCATCCAATGCTTCACCAAGTTCTGGGCATGGCGGATAGTGGTTCACCTGAACAGAGAGTCGCTCTCATCATCCCTCAACAGCCTGCTGAACACATCTCTCTGCCTAATCTTCAACCCATCTGCAATCAGCTCCAGCACTTGACATACCATTCCCCTCACTGCTGATATATATTCATTCACAAGACACCTGCACCGCCATTTTAATTGACGTGTGAATAAGGGACAACTCGTCCATCCATGTAAAGGGGTATTTATGCAGCTAAATTATCATTGCGTGCACAGTTTTAAATCCTGTGCTTGTTTTATCGAGTTAGTGGTATTGCATGCAAATAGCCGTTATACAAGGTAAAATGACAGTTTTATCCTTTTGAAAGATTTACTTCAATTTATAGGGGCATATTGGGTGATAAAAAAATTTAATGGTTTCTATTCAACTCCAAGAGTTGAGTGTTGATATTCTTGCCTGAAATTTTCTGGGCTTTCATGGAAAAATAAAGAAGGGGGGAAATAAGTCGAGTGTTGGCGCTGAAGAGAAGGTATTCAACCCAACCCATATCACCATTCCGGCCAATTCTCTTGTTTCCGTAGCCTAAGGGGTTAGGTGAAGCAGCTTTTTCCTTTTCATTGAGTGGCAGGTTGAAGAACTTGGTGGCTTCATCCTCTAATTTGATCATGAGCTCCTTGGAGACTCCATGGTTGATCACCTTGAAGAAGCCAAACTCTTGACAGGCTTCAACTAGGAGAGTCTTTGAGGAAGAAAGGTCTGAGAGGTCTATCACTGGAATACCTGTGAATATGCTGGCGGCGGGTTGCATGTATTGATGAGAGTTAAATTTTCTGCTACGGGCTTATGAGATGAAACAACCATGGTTGCGTATAAGTGTGTGTGCGTGTTTATAATATATATATATATATATATAGAGAGAGAGAGAGAGAGAGAGAGAGAGAGAGAGAGAGAGAGAGAGAAAGGGCGGAGAGAAGGGTTGGTCAACCGAAATTCGTGGGGAGAGTTATGAGTTTTCGGGTTTAAATAGGAAAATTCCAATGCATGAGATGAGAGGTCGCAGGCGTTACGAGTTACAAATTTGATTTGAGGAATTCTATTTTAGCCGTCCAAATTAGGAAATTAATCATAGGGTTTTGAAATTTTATAGAATTTTAAATATTTTTAAAATGATTTATATGGAGATATATTTAAATCAGGGTAGTTAATAAAAGAGACTACCGTAAAATTTCATTTCCATTTTGATTCCAATACTAAAAGTTGTCACTGAATTATTGTAAAAAAATTCTAAATTTATTTTTCCTTCTATTGACATGCTTAATTAAGAAGAAAGGGTTAAATTAGGAAAGTTTTCAAAAGAATCAATGTGGTAATCAAGTTATTAACTAAAATCAAGTTCCTAAAATAATCTTGCACCATAATGGAGAAAAAAATGATTGAAAAATTTCAAATCGAAAATGCATTAAAGATTTTTATTTACAGTTAAATGATTATTCAAATAATCATTTTAAATATAACAATGCTAGAAAAATTAATTTAGTGACCACATTATTAGTCACTAAATGCAAAGGGCCGTGGTCACTAAACGAATCAGTTATCACTTTTGTAATCGATTTGTTCGACAAAAAAAGTCACGTCACTAATCGTTTAATGACCAAGGTGGTCACTAATTAATAATTGAAAAAATCGGTCACTAATTAGTGACAGCTAATATCGGTCAATAATGGGGTCCGATCACTAAATAGTGATTGCAAAATGCCATCACTAATTAGTGATGAAAACAATCAGTCACTGATTATTTACTGACCATTTTATTAATAAAATTAGATGCATATTTAGTGACTCCATATATGGTAACTAATTAGTGACTACCATTTTGCCGTCACTAGTAGTGACCCTATTAACCTTATTATTCTAACTGTATATGGGGTCACAATTAGGTTACTAATTTTGTGACATTCTTGTGATCCATTTTAGGAGTCGCTGGTACTGTATTTGCTGTAATACATATATATCATTTGAATTCCCGTAATGCATATCAATTATTTATATTCCTGTAATACATATCTATCATTTCAATTGTAATTCAACACAAGCATACATGAAAAGCAATTAAACATCAGGATGCAATCATTTTTTAATGTGAAAATATTTAATAATACAATTTGATAACTACATTTAAACATAAGAATGAAATAAGAATATAAAGTTTTAAAATATGATAATGTCAAAATGTAATTTCATTGCCGAGTGCCTTCTCCAATCCTCTCATTTTGGCTTGATGACCCATCTTACATTGCATTGAACCTTTCTATTATTGTAGTTATTGTAGCCATCATATCCTTCTCCCTAACTTTCAGTGTCTTTTCTGCTAATTTCTTAGCCTCTTCAAGCACTTGTCTCTTTTGACGTAGCTGCTTGTCTATCTTAGCAAGTGCTTTAGCAATTGTCTCTTGCAATTGATTTGAACTAAACATATCTAGGAGGAGGTGCTGTGGACATGGAGTCAGATGAAGTGCTAATAAAAGCAAGTTCTTGTAATGATAAGTATTCCCAAAATCATAAATTCGATTCATATAAGGCCCAACACTAATTGCAAGTTATTTCTGCGCATCAAATGAGTTCTCTAGAGTAGGATTGTTGCCATGTTGACTATAATATGATGCTCATACTCTTCATAGAAATAAATCAATAACAAGTATAAAATTAATATAAATTAACATCAATGATAACTAATCATATTACCCTTATATGATGATAAGACTAAAATAGAAGAAATAAAATAATACAACATGGTAAGAAAGCAGTTTGGAAAATATATATCAAATGACTTCTACTTAAGATTGTAACTTCATTCATAAGTACACAACTAACTACTTGTAACCAAAAAGAACCATGCTTGTAATTGAACTAATTGATGCTTATAAGACTTAGACTTAGATTTGTTACTATAAACGGAAAGATGTGCATTTAACCAAAGGGGGATATACTTGAAACTGAATTGAGATCTGCCTATAACCAAATAAAACTATGCTTGTAACTCAACTGAAATTTGCTTATAACCAGTTAGAACAATGTTTGTAATTGAATAAAGCTATGGTTCTAATTGAACAAGTCAAAACCACAAGCATCCATTATTTTAATTACAAGTAGGGTTTTGTTTAGTTATAAGCAGATCTTAATTCAGTTCCAAGTATATCTCCGTTCAGTTACAAACATATATGTTCCTTTATTCAACCAAATCTAAAACCAAGTCTTACAAGTAATGATTTGTTCAATTACAAGCAAAGTTTTGTATGGTTACAAGGAGAGGCCCGTTTAGTTATAAGCATATCTAAGTTCAATTACATGCATATATCTTCATTAATAAAACGAAATGTAAGCCAAGTCTCACAAGTGTCAATTGGTTCAATTACAAGTACGATTTTGTTTAGTTACAAGCATATCTCTGTTCATTTACAAGTAAATATGCCCCTTTATTCGACTAAATCTAAGACCAAGTCTTATAGGCAATGATTTATTTAATTATGAATAAATTTCTATATAGTTACAAGAAGAGCCTATTCAGTTACATGCATATCTAAGTTCAGTTATATGCACATATTTTCATTGATAGAATGAAATGTAAGCCTAGTCTCACAAGCATTAATTGGTTTCATTTTAAGTAGGGTTCTGTTTAGTTATAAGTAGATCTCAGTTTAATTCCAAGCATATCTCTATTTAGTTATAAGAAAGTATGTTCTTCTATTTAACCAAATCTAAGACCAATTCTTATAGCAATAATTTGTTCAGTTACAAGTAAAGTCTTCTATAGTTGGAAGGATTTGCTTGTTTAGTTATAAGCACATCTAAGTTCAGTTACATGTATATATCCTCATTAATAGAATGAAATGTAAACGTAGTCTCACAAGCATCAATTGGTTTAGTTACAAGTAAGGATCTGTTTAGTTACAAGCAGATCTCAATTTATTTCCAAGCATATCTTCGTTTAGTTACAAGCAAATATGTCCCTCTATTTAACCAGATTTAAGACTAAGTCTTGCAAGCAATGATTTGTTTAGTTAGAAGTAAAGTTCTGTATGATTACAAGGAGATGCCCATTTAGTTACAAGTATAAATAAGTTCAGTTACATACATATATCTTCATTGATAGAGCAAAATGTAAGCCTAGTCTCATAAGTATCAATTGGTTCAATTACGAGTAGGGTTCTATTTAGTTACAAGCAGATCTTAGTTCAATTGCATATAATAGGTATTTAGAAGCTATTAGAAGCGTATTTGTTTAAACAAAGTGTATAAGTCACATTTAAAGTTAAGAATCACATGATATAATAGGTCTAGTGTGAAATCAAATGTTTTAAATTCTTTGTCTAGAAAAGTAGCACTATAAAGAACATATATTGAATGAAAATTATGGTAGTGAATTTTAATCTATTGTGAATTTGGCATCAAAAACTTACTCGAACTCTTTTCAACTTGTTATTGACATAATCACCTCTCCTTGTTTTCTCTAACGAGTATAGTCATGGACTTCAACTTGGCTGACCCTCGTGCCACCTTGTTCCTAGTGTATTAATTCATTAAATGAATAATATATAAGTAAATATAAGTGAACTATGACTCTAATAAAAAACTTACCATTTTACGTTTGTGCTCAGTAAATGAAATGGAATTGCTCGTGTGCTTTATAATTGACCCATCTTTCTCAGTCAATCTATTCTTTCTGACTTTTATACATTTATTCTGATAGTTTTTGTACATTCATCTAGCTATTATAGATTACTTCTCACTCAGTGGTGAGCATGTATTTGGGCACTGCCCTCATTAGATCCCTTAAGTCATTACTCTCAACTTGTTGGATTGCTGATTTCTTTATTCTATGAATTGTGTTTTTGTGATTTTTCTTCTGGGTTTGCTCCATAAGTGCCATATACTGGCATCATAGTTTGGCAACCACGTGTACATCTCGTATCAGAATTACAATAGTTTTGTGAAATTGCAAATATGTTAATTAGAGATGGTTGTTATTTAGAACAAATAATAGTTTAGATATATAGTATCACCTTAAATTTATTGAAAAAGTTGTCCCTCCTACTTGCTCTCATGTTGCATGTGAGCCCATATATCTCCTAAGAATGGCCATTATTTGGCGAGTGACACGCTCCAGAACGAAGTTGCCAAATGTAAAGTGAATAAAGTTTAGTTGCAGTAATATGTAGATAAGTTAGAATTAAATAATAAAATTAGATCAAGTTAGAAGCAAAGTTTACCCATCATGAAATGGTTGGATGAGTTGGCAGCCATCAATATAGGTAGGTTCAGAACTCGCTAATAAGGCTAACCCTCATGTGCTATGCCAAAAGGAGAAGGTTGGCTCTCATGTGTGATGCTAGATAGAGAAGGCTAGCCCCAAGTACGGCGCTGGACAATATATCCACCATTTGTCTACCTGCCATTGACTCCTCTCGAATATCGAAGTCATCAATTGCTTGGTTAAATGATAGAGACACTTTGTCACTAGTGTGTCTATCGCCAAGATCATACCCACCTCTGTCGCGCCTACCAAGTCCCTGGTCTTTACTAGAAAACATACTACACATACAGAGTGTAATCTTTTTCATAAATTCAAATTTCAATTTGAGAGGATAAAAAATAGAGGTTCCCTGATTGATTTTTTCAAGTGAAATGGAGCAATAGATAGTTAGATGAGTTAATACAACAAAGTGTAGCCACATAAGAAATTAATCTATCAGCGTTTCAAAGAAAGATGCATCTTTACATGTTCTTGCTTCTTGAAAGTCCAAAAACAAG